GAATTTTTTAAAAAATATTAAAACATAAAGCAAAATCAAATAATGTAAGATTTTACAATAATCTTGTAAAGGTGGGAATTTCTCTTGCCGTGTTACAGAGAAACACAACGTGCTTGAAATGTGGGTATATACTGGTGAGGATGAGGAAGTGGGCAGGTAGGGAGGAGGGTGCATTTGATGTGGCCTGTGAAGAGCAGGTTTGCTGTGAATATGTGGAAGGAGCTGAGAAGGGAACTTTTAAAATGTGACAAATAATTCCATAAATACGAATAGAGAACACACTATCATAGTGGATCAATTCTTAGCATATGCCTAGTACTACACTACCTGGGATTTAATCCTAACCCTCACACTTAACAGATTTGTGACAAATTACTCAACTTCTCTGTGACTTGGGTTTCTCATAATTAAAATGTGGATAGTAATAGTGTTTACCTTATACGATTGTTGTGAAGAATACACACACAAACACATACATACACCATAGCTACAAAGATACACACAGTGGAATTGTACCTATCACATAGTAAGCATCCTATATCAACTTAATTTTGTATTACTTTATTTGAAAAAATAGTTAGAAAATTGTGCTTCTCTCCATCTTTCATATTTCTAGCATGACCACCCTTGGGAGTCATTAGATCCTCAATTCAAGATGATTCCTTCTGATGAAACATTATTATTGCTAGAAGATGTATGCACTCTCTCACTTAGCCCTTCATTTATCTCTTGAACATCTACCCAGTCCAGTTGTATACTAAACAAGAAATGTGAACACTGGGTGAATGGATCAGCAGCCTCATGCTCATATGACTTCCGGTGATCGGGAAGACAGGCGATTAAAGACATTGTTCCAATATAACGCAAAGACGGCCTCATACTGACAGTAAGAAGGTGGTGTGCTATGCTGGGTAAAGGTTTGTTCCTCACCTATTACATGAGAGAGTGACATTTAATACAAAAGACTATCATGGTGGCCAACGAAGAAGCTATACCTATAGCCCTAGGCACAGAGCAGGGGGCCAAGAGCCTGGGTAGCTTCTCAGTGCTTCTTCTGACTGTAACTGTGGTCTGGAACTCATAACAACAGTTCTGTCTTTGAATTGTTGGAGAAGTCTTCCAAGAAAGACTTAAACTGAGTTTTCAAGGGTGAGGAGAGTTTTGCAGATGGAAAAGTGACAAGGACAACTCAGAGAACAGAAGGAACATCTGGTGAGGCACATCGCCCCAGACCTGGTTGCTTAGATAATCAAAAGGCCCCCCACTCTGCATCTGCTGCCAAATCAGGCCCACCAAAAAAAAAAAAATCATGCCAGGTTCCTTTGGCTTCACTTACTCTCCCAATCCTGTGGGCTTTGCTTTTCCTCTGTTTCATATCAAATAATTTTTTTCTTGCTGTGATTGGGATTTTATTCCACCAATTCTGAAACAATTTTTCTGAATGAATCCTCCTCTGCCAAGGTGGGGAGAATTATGTGGTCCCTTCATGAGGTCCACAGAAAAGGAAAGGTAGTCCAGGTGTCTTCTCAAAATCCAGGGCATCAGCCAACATTATTTGGCTGTCTTTGTTTGTGCTTGAGTCCTCTTACTATAAGCTGAAGAAAAGCGTGGTAATAAAAGCCATCCCTTGTAGGACAACAGGAGAAAGGTTCCCAACCCTCAGTGACTTGCACTTATATCAGGGTTAATGTTTTCTGGAGTGTTTTCCACTTTCACTTTTTAAAAAACCCATCCATACAACAACCTTGCTATCTGTCATGCTTTCATTTAAAGAAAATTTCTTAAATGTCTATCATGCACCTAGTATTGTTCTAGTGTTAGAGGTATAACAGAGTAAAATTACATAGCTCCTGCTCCTACAAAGCTCTTGGTGCACCAAGGGGAAAGATTATAACAAAGGAGTCATATCAGTTTCTTCAGAATGTTTACTCATGGGATAAGTGCTCTGAAGTAAAGACACTCAATTCTTAAAGAGCTATGATCAGGTGGGGTCAGGGACAGAGACTAATCTGCAGCTGAGAGCCTAGCTGAAGCGAGAATTAACAAGGCCAAGGATGGAAGAGATACTTCTCATAGAGAGAGAAAAGAATGCCAGAGTCTCCAGGTGGAGGGGGTGTCCTCGAGAAACCAATGTTGGCTCCTAGACAGGCAGACAGACGAGAAGATGTTTGAATAAAGAAGGGAAGCCAGACAGGTGTCAGAACATGCAAGACCTTGTTCCAATAAGAGCTTTCAAATGTGAATGTGTTTGAGGATGTGGATGGTAAGATGATCATTTTGTAAAAATGATTCTGACTATATGGAGAACCAAATCTCTATGTGATGGGTGAAAACATGGGCATGAGTGTCAAAAGTGAGAAAAGTGAAGAAAAATTAATATTAAAGAAGCACATATTTATGTATGGATGGGTTACTGTACATAATGTGCTTAGACAATGGCTTGGACATAGTAAATTCAACCTACATGAAGTTTAGTCGTTGTCACTGTTGTTTATATTAATACCCCACCTATGGCATCCTGGATGCCATCACCTTGTTCATTATTATTTCCCCTATTTTACAAGTAAGGGAACTGAAGTTCAGAAAGGTGAAATTAACTACCTAACATCACCTCGTTGACAAGTGGCAGAGAGAGGATTCAAAACCCAAGACCTCCCTATGTTTAAAACCAACATTAAAGCAAGCTGGGAAGACAACCCAAGTTATCAAGATGTGATGGTGCCGTCCTCTAAGAAGCCCAGAAACTACTGACAGCTCCTACAGTTGTTCTAGAATTATTATTTTTCTTGGTACCAGGGATCAAACTCATGACTTGACGCTTGCCAGGCAGGAGCTTATGCCACTGAGTTAAATCCCCAGCCCTCTAGAATTATTCTTAGGGAAATTGTTTGGGTCATTTGTATTTACTTGAGTTTGACAGGGAAAATCACAAATTATTTATTCATGACTGCTGGCAATATAAAAAATAACACATATAGAAGACAAACTCAGACGTTTACACGTTTTTCTCCTCAAATTTTTAGTAAGATAACTAATTTTGGGCAATACATTGTTCAGAGGAAGCTACACATTGTTTAGACAATGGGAAAAAAGGAAGAAAATTTGAATATCTAAAAGAAGTCTAGGACTGGGGCTCAGAGACAGATAGTACCCATTATGTTAGGAGTTTCATGAAGAACATTGTTTATGACATTTAATTCTCAATGTCAATGGTGTCTTTTTATTTCCGTGTTACAAATGAAACCAGACATAGGGCCATTAAGTGATAGGGCCCTGCTTGCCTGGTGTCTAACGCATGTTTTATCCACTGTGCCTGAGGGGCCTCATCTGTGGAGTTAGTCTGACAGCCACTTTTATCTTTTCTCACTGTCTTTATTAGGTTCACAACAAATCTCAATACATTTCCTTGCTTGTATTCCTAAGTCTGTTGATAGTGAGTAAAGCAGAAATTATTTTGACACATAGTAGATTTTCCATTCTGATAGATCTAACCTGTCAAGTCTGACTTTAAAAAAGTACTTTAAAAATTCTTGCAGTGTCACTTTTTAAATTTGTATGATACAGGATATTTTGCTTGATTAATGTACAAAATAGCACCTGGAAAGATGGAAGGCTGGGTTTCCAAGTTTAAGCTGGGAGGAGAGAACAGGGGAGCCAATCAGAAACACAAAAGCCAAATAAGCAGCTTCCTGATATGATTTTAGGTCTTTTGCAGCTGGAAAGTTCTCCTGGAGATTTTGATCCAAGCCACTCCTCCCCGCCCCCCAATATAGAAAGGGATTTACTAGGTTTCTCTCCACAGGAAAAAAAAATTCTGAGAGAATCATTTCCTTTAGCCACCAATGATTTTTAAAGAGAAATATACAATCGCAAACAAAATGATACAAGGTTTTAAAAAATGCCATACTCACTCTCAGTTGAATATTTATCTCAAAATCTGCTCCTTTTCCCTAAGGGTACTGAGTGAAAACTCACCCGATGGTAATGTGTGCCTCTCTCATTTTATACAGATAGCCTTGAATCCCAGGCTCCCGGGATTTCACAGCAGGCTGGCAACCTGCGGTGCTCAGAAGAGCATTGCTAGACCTGTGCTTCACCATCCTCTGCCCTCTCTAATCTAGCACCACTTGTAGGACCATCCCTAAGGCTGAAAAATATCTGATCAGTTCTCCTTTTCAAGAATACGTAAGATCTAAAGGAGTACATAGCTCTAAGTGACATACAGAAAATGCACAACCAGCTACAGGGCTGGCTAGAGTGATATTGAATCCTGCAGGCTTAGTTAAAGAGGAACTGCCAGGATGTTTACGAGGCACACATGTGTGCACACGGAAGGTGCACACGCGTGAGCGTGTCATGCCAGGTTATAAAGGCAGAAGAGACAGAAACAGTAACTGGAGCATGTATACCAGACCCAAGTCACCCTCCCTTCAAAGCACTAACTTAGGCTCCCCACAAACCACATTTCCAGCAAGTCCTGAAAGTCAGCTGTGTTCTTACTGCTGTGTAACCCAAGAGCAGACTCCAGGTGAACCAGTCTAACAAACAACACTCCACGGTCATGTACGAAGCTAATTCTATTTTGCTAATTGCTTTCTTGGGCATGCACCAAGTTATTAAACACAGTGACAAAACAGAGCTTGGATAAATGTCTGTGGCAGTGCCCTCCAGATTTTTTTTTTCTTAGTACGAGTTTCAATGACTTGTTTGCATGTTACATAGAACAAGCAAAACTGGCAAAATACCTCTGAATTATTTTCTAATCTACTGTCAGCTTTGAGATCACCTCTGCAATATTATTTTGCTCTTCGGAAAATACTTCTCTTTCCTCATATAAGAGATGCTGATTTTCAGAGCAGACCTCAGTCTGTCAGACACAAGCTTCTGCCAGGAATGACAGTCATATAGTAGCTACAGAAAACAGCATCAGCAGAACCTGTGGGAAGTCAGACACCAGCCCACTTCGTCCCACCCACCCACTCTCCCTCTCTGGTCTGTACCTTCCGTGTAGCAGCTGGAAGAGAGGATGGTATTCGGAGGTCTGAAGATGTAAGGCAGGTAACGAGAGAAGCATTTCATCTTCCAAATAAAAAATAAAACTCTAAATAAAAAACCAGTCTCCTGAATCCATAAGGATTCTCTCGGCCTTCAAAGCTGGCTACATCACCAATATGCTTATGTAGGTTCTGGCCCAGATCTGCAAAGCTGGGAAGCCCGAGGAATATCTGGAGCTGGGTCCCATTTTGCCATCAGAGCCAGGAAACACTGCCTTACATTTCTGCATGCAGCTCAAACTCAGAAGCCCCCAAGCAAGCCGGGATATAGCCTCTTCATTGGCTGAAGCTCCTCCGAGCAGGATTTGCTGAGTAAGTCAGTCCTGCCTGTAAACACACATTGAAATGCTCTGCCTGAAACCTCTACCTTCTTCTGTGTGGTCAGTTTCTCTGTTAGCAAAGGAAATCCAGCAGGATATGGGAGTCGTGAGGATAAGTGACCATCTCTTATTTAGCTGAAAGATCAAATGAAACAAAGACTGCATAGTGTTCCACCCTGGAGGGAGATGGCTGTAAAAAGGAGCAAACCGTAAAGCCATGGATCTCAGGAATATTAAAATACAGTGCAATGAAATGGGTCTCTGTCCTTGCCTAATCTAGATTTAGTTTTAGTTTAGTTTTTCTTTTTTTTAATACTGAAGCCCAAACAATAGAACCATTTATCACTTAGGTGAAGCCAAAAGCTGGGTTGAGCAGTCTGTGGCAGGGGCTAACACAGACAGATTCTGTGCTCCTCTGTAGTGATTTCCTTCTGCCGGCCCTAATGCTGAGGTAATAACTCAGTCCTGAGTTACTCTCTGTTCAAATACAAAGCCACGGCCCAAGAGACGAGGTGCACCCAAGGGAGCAGACGCTTCACCAATGCGTGGTCCCCGGTGGCGTCTGAAGCATGGGAAAAGTAAGCCAATCCAGAGAGTATACAACTTTACCAAAACACTCATTGAGATTTCCAGGTTGGGGGGCTGTGTGGGGCGCTGAAGGACAAGACAGCAAAGACAAGTGATTCAGGAGGGGGGTTGGTGTGGTTTTGGCCCGTGAGATAAAGTGACTTTGGAAACCACACGGCTGGAAGCAAGCACAGAGCTTCAGTCTGGGATTTATAAATTCTGTCAAAGGCACCATTGTACATATGATGAAGAGAAAGAGGCAAATGTCCTTTGTGCCACATCCAGAGATACAAGGAAATGATTTAAATAGTCTGCAAAAGAAAATGACTCTGAGTGGGGCTTTTAAAATAAGGTAAAAAAATTAGATTTAAAAATAAAAACATAGCTTAAAACTCAAGAGTTTTAAGCTTTTAGGGGCTTTCCACTTTACAAAAATATTTAATTTAGCGTTAGGAAATGTGCTGATTTTCCCAGGAGAGAAAACACACAAAGTAATTATAATAAAGAATAAGCATGATAATGTAAATTGACTTTCCCCCCATCTGCCACTTGTGACGTGAAGTTAAACTTATGGCACAGCCAGACCAGTTAGTCTGATCATAACCTCCTTAGACCCAGGGGCCAGGCAAGGTGGGGGATCTCAATTAAAACGCTGTTTGAATAACCCCTATGTAGTTTGGTGTGTCCTTTGGGTGATCTTGAACTCAGGATTTAGGATATTCGTAGGACATACTTCACATCTAACTTCTTATTGGCAGCAAGACAGAGCGGAAAGAGAGGGCCATGGGATCATTCTGACACATCTGATTTCCAGTGCATCCACTTATTGGAGTTTGGGTAGACACAAACCAAACTTTAACACCTGTAAACATCTATAAAATGGGAACAATGCAAAATTTTTCATGCGTTTTTGAAAAAAGTGAGACAATTAAAATTAAACATCTAGCACACTATAGGCAACTGGTGACCTAAGTTGCTGCTTATCACTGTTGGCCTTCTCCTTGGAAGCTTCTATAGCCATAAACCAAGGAAGAGCAGTGAAGAGCGGGTGTGGTTAAGAAGGATGCTCCTGCCAATGTTTAATCCCACCTTTGATGCTGACTTCCTGTGTGATCCTGGGCAACTACAACCTCATATGTGCTAATAAGGATAACAGCTGAATCTCACACAACATCACAAGGACAAAATAGGAGGCTGTTACAAGGCAGAGATGGCGAGCATTTTAGAGACTGAGTGCCAAATTACAACCCAAAACTCACTCATTTTTTGCAAAGTTCCTACATGGCAATGAATCTTGAATATTGAGGTTTCAGTTTAGAAAAAACAACTCATATATTAACCTTTTTTGTCTTTATAGAAAAAAAAATCACATGTTCCATATGTTTGATACCACTGCTATCCAGAAGTTAGCATAGTTCTTAGAACATTATAAAGATTTCCTAAGTTTAATTACTATGTATGTAATAGTAATAACAGCTCTTAGTCACAGCGTAGTGCTGCCGTTACTTACCTGTCTTATCTAACTACGAAGCTGTACACGTCATGCAGGAGAAGTCAATGGCTACTTCACCTTTGTATAACTGGAGCTTAACCCAGTGCTGACCCAAAGTAGATACAAAATAAATATGCAAGTGATGAGGATAAACCGATGTTTACAGTGAAAGGTTTTGAAAGATATTTTCTCTTTGGGGAAAAGAAGTCCTTCTTACCATGAATGAAGTGAATTTGAGCTATCAGAAAGCTGCAATAGATGATTCAAGCAGAGGCACTCCTGAATAGGCAAAATCTGCACTTAGGAAGTATCTTCCGAATCAATAGTAGACATTCCTGAAAAACATATTTCCTGGGTGGACAAATACTCACTGATGATGTTGCCCATAATTATTCTCAATAAACGAGGCAAACACAATAGGAAACAAATGAGGAACTATTTCTTCTATTAGAAGCAAAAGAATAAGTGGAGATGGTCGCCCACCCAGATGTTCCTTCTAAACCAGCCAATGCCTTTGAGTGTAACTGAGGACATCTTCTCCAACCCAAACACAAATGGACTGATTTAGTACCAAGCCTATGGAATCCATCTACTCATGTGCCAAGCAGGAAACGGGCAGCAAGTACAAATACAAAATTTCATTGGACAGGTGAAGCTGAGACAGGTGGTTTGCACTGCATCATTTGAACTGTTTCACTGTGTGTATTCCATACTGGAATAACTTGATGAACTTGTGGAAGAACACAGATCTCAAAGTCCACAGGCTAGCTGATTCAGACTCTGGAAATACAGAAAGTTTTCTTTTCCAACTTTTCTTTAAGGATTGAGAACTTTGCTGGGTGTGGTACACATGCCTGCACCCCAGCTTCTCTGAAGGTTAAGCCAGTGGGGTCCTCAGTTAGAAGACAACTTGTCTCAAAAAAACCAATCTATTTGTTTCTCAGTTGGGTCTGAATTTAACAAGACCCTGTCTCAAACAAAACAAGACAAAACAAAAACTCTAGACTGAGGTGTTTAGTTTCATATTTTGTGATGAAGAAAAATTTCAACATATGCTTGTCCTAAATCATATACCTCACCATTTTTATGCAATAATTTGTTATCACCTAGATAATTGTTCAGGCATTAGGCTGAATGATGGGACATAGTCTATAATGTACGATCTTTGCTCTAAAATAGTGCATAGTCTAGAAAAAAGGACTGATAAGCCATCTTAATGCAGCCTCATAGGGATATCAAAAGTAAAAGAGTGTCTGAAGAGATTGCTTGGGATTATAAAACCTCAAAGGTCAATATTAGTGATTCACATTTTTGCCTTAGGTATTATTTATAAATGACTCCTATCAAAAGCCAATTAATTATTATACTTAAAGACTCAGCAAATCAACAGCAAGTAGCCATTAACACTGTCCATTAAACTACCTTCTGATAACCCTTGTTGTCAGAAAAGACCAGGGTCACCAAGAAAGGGACAGGGTCTTCATGAGGAGAGAGAAAGGCCAAAGCCAGTCGCAGAAGTGCCTGGAGGTGGGGTGCAAAGACAGACAGGGAAATGTGGAGGTGGAAAGGATAAAAGTGACCCACTTTAGGTGCCACGTGAGAAGGTTCCTGGCGTCTGACTGAGCACAGTCCAGAGATAAGAAATGCATGATTCCCAAATGTCAGGTTCTGATATCAAACAGCAAAGAAAGTAGCTAACTGAGGGGTTTTGGGTGCTGAGTGCTGGGCTTCTCTAAGCTGCTGGGGAGATGAGCAGTGGTCATTCCTGTCCTGTGCAGTCCCAGGCACAGTCCCTGCTTTGGACCCAGGGACTGGCCGTGGGGCCTCCCAGCCGCTGGTGCTATCACTGCCGCCCACTCCCACAGAAGCCTGAGCTTTACCGAAAAGTTGCCCTGGTAATTCTCTCCCAGCATGTCTGCAACCTCCTTTGGGAGAAGGCTCATCATTACAGTTTTTCATTTTGCTAAGGAGAAATCGAAATCCCATGAAAAAGAATTTTAGCTTATTTAAGACCAGTCAGTAAGAGCCTTTTACTTTCAAGTTAAATTCCTATTCATTCCTCAGATTTTAAATAAAATGTCACATCTTCAGGGACAAGTTTCTTAATACTCCAGACTGAGGTGTGATCTCCTTGATGTAGATTCTCAAATACCATCCTCCTCTTTCAAAGCACTAATTCATTATCAAATGTATTTTTTGAGCATCTATTTATGTTAGGCTTTGGGCAAGGTCCTAAGGAATCAGGAGTAAAAATACAAATAAAATACCTACCCTCTTCCCAGGTATACTAATCAGTCTTTCTGCAGATGACTGGTCAGCATTAAGTGAGGCAATTCAGTGCACCACCTACAATTTTGCCTAGCACAAAGTAAGTGCTTTTCAATTATACCGATAATGGTTATTAACTATCTGATGCTAGCCAGACTCTTAGTTCCCAGGAAAGTAGAAATTTGACTTTTCTGTGATGTATCTTGAGTTCCAGGTTTGCTGCCTAGAGCACAATAAGACTTCGATAAATGTGTGCTGAATTGAATTGAATTAAACAAGGAAAACTTGACTATTTTTATTATACTTCCCACGGTATGTAGCAAGTATGTGAAATTCACAACTTGGTAGACTCTAATCTGAAAAAAATAGGGTGTACTCTGTGGCTAGTTTATGTACCCAGTTATCCCTACAAGCACAATCTTTTCAGCAGGTATTAGACGCTCAGCATTTTGGTACATGTTTGAGAGACAGCCGATGACATTCAGGGGTGTAGCTCATTGAGGTGATATTCTCAAAGAGAGAGGCAGAAAACGAACTAGTAGACAGTCCACCCACATGGCTGTATATTTCAGATGGTACAAAGGGGAATAAGAAAATGAAACTAG